TCTCTCTCTCTCTCCTTCTCTCTCTCTCTCCTTCTCTCTCTCCCTGCCATGCGGAGCTGGAGAGAGTATTTGGTCACATTTTGGCATCATACTAATCCTTCCAGGTGTTAGACCAGCAAAATACACCTTTGTCTCCTGTCCCTTTCTGGTGAGTTTAGCTGCATCTGCACCAGCTTGTTTCCTTGTTTATCTGTTAGCTTTCCTTCTAGGTGATGGTGTTTCTTTTCCTCATGAACATGGGTAATAAATGACCTTGCAGGTTACCTTGAGCCTGCTGATGAAAACTACGTTCTCATTGGCCTTCAAATGCAAGTGTATAAATTGGGTTGGTGGGATGGAAGGTCTTGTAAACCTTCCATTTAGATCTGTATGCTTTAGCTCCTGGATATTTGCCTCCTCTTGGTAACAATTACAGCATGTCTTGTGTTACCTAATGGAAACTATGAGTAGTTGTTTTCTTTGAGTACTACAAAAACTTCTGTGCAAGTTATGATCATTCGTAACTGTAGTGCAATGACGAAGGTAGATCCTGTCACAAGTTATAAGCAGATTTTTAAAAATGCTGGTATTGGTTATTCTGCTAGGTATGTTGCTAGTGATCGTCTACGGTATAACTTGCAGAATTCAAGATCAAATACTGCTGTTGGCCTTTATTTTATATATTAATATATATACACGCACACAATACAATAAAGCAGCTTAGACGTTTTAAAGTAATATGAAAATTATTTCCTGGCTTGGCAGATGATGGAGGCAGTCGCACAGGATGTGGGAAGCTGGAGGAACTTGTGGTTTGTTTCTGCTCCCTGTTTTCATGCTCTGTTCTACTTCACCTATTTTTGAAAGCAGAAAAATCTGATGTGAGCTCAAGAGAAGCACAGCTGAACCTTCCTTCCTAGCGCCTGATACATTTGTGGGGGGGATATTGAACAAGAATGCGCGCATAAAGACAGTGGTAAAAGAATAGAATGGATATGCTGCTGTGTTTAGCCCAAACTACCAGTGTTCAGTGAGCAGTTTGTTCTTGCCAGCTTGCTGCTGAGCCATCCAAACTAAGCTTTTTAGTTACTATCTGGTTGTGTTGATTGATGACTCTCTTTAAATTAGAGGACTTTGCAAGTGTCTTCAAAGACCCACATAGCAGCAAACAAGTATGGAAGAAGGTAGATTTTATTCCTGAACTTCAATTGGAGTTATTTCATGGAGTGAAAGGGAACTGAAGATAAAGGTGGAAAGAGCTGCAGGCCTGATCTCTGTGTACCCACAGAACAACTGCGAAGGCAGGATTTTCCATACATTTGTTAATCTGTGTTCAATCCCCACTCTTGGAACAGGCACTCTGAAAAAACATACTGCAGCAAAATATGTTGGTCAAAGATTGTGACTGTTTTCTGTGTGTTTTCTTCCAGGATGGCACATTACAAACATGGTTACAAGTCTGTATTGCTCACTTGTTTATGAAGATACTTTTTTCCCTAATTTTCTTGAATTTCAATAAGTCATCTTTGAAGGAGGGGAGGCAAAGAAGATCAGATACTGTTTAGCACTTCCATTACAGCTCTCAAGTCAGAACGATGTTTCTTATAAACTACTGCACATTCTCCAAACTGGTATTTTCATGGAAAGATTCAAGTTTCACAATGCAAGAAAGATTTAGAGGAGTTCTTTTTTACTATATTTTTGTGGGAAGAGGTGCACAACTTCAGGGCCTCACTTCCTCGCAACAAGTACTAGACAATTTGAGACCACGGTTGATCTTGTTTGCCTCGTTTCCATGAGAAGGGTCACGAGTTGCCAGTCCTGGGTTTCTGCAGTCCTGGTGGCTGCACATGAGCTCGGTGAGCATCAGCTGTGCTTTCCACTGCAGCTGGCACCGAGTGCGCGGCACCCCTTAACAGCAGATAGCCCTCTTACAGGCTTGTGTGTGTGTATATATATTTTAATATCATCTCTCAAAAATCATTATGTGCCTTTTTTTTTTTTTTTAAACCACTGAATTTCTGTTAGCCTTACATATCTTCTCTGAGCCTTTAGGATGGATTTGAATAGTGACGCTTTTCAGGCTCCCTTTCATAGTCAAGAGGATAATATGTCCTTTTCTGACAACAGTCTTATCCTAARTAAAAAATATATTTTTATTTTTTAAAAATTTATTGTTTTACCAAAAAAAAAATTGGCTAAAAATCACTTTGTAGTTGGAGGTCCATGTGCAGTAAAAATTTTACCTGTTTAAATCTGTATCCAGCATGGATAATCTAGCTAAGTCCTAGAGTTGAATCAGGGAACTGGTGTTAATATTAGCTTAAGATTTTTGAAGAAAAACAATCAGTGTAATTATTTAGCTGTTCTGCCAGTATAGAACGTTTCTGTGCTGAGATGTTTTACTTGTGTCCCCATAATGACTTTCAGGACTTCCTAGTCAGCTGTGTTCTGTTTACTTTGCAAGTTCCAAGTTGAAAATGCTGAACAGGACCTGTGATAAAGTTAGTGTGTTTGCATGCCTGCCTTGATGGGGTGTGGTATTAAGGTTTTCAGAAATGGGAAAGAATATAGGAAATAATCACATAGAAAGTGATACTCCAATAAATATACAGTGAAGTGTGGGCTCATGCTGTGCCGTTGCAGCTGCGTTGTGCTGCTGGTTGATTGTTTTCAGTGCTCATTGTGCTTGTTAGCTCCGACACTAACGGCACRGAACTGCTGCCGCCCCGGCAGATACCTCAAAGCTTCTGGGGCGGCAGATGAGCAAGCATTAAAATAGGATCCTTTAACAAAGGATAGTGTCAGTGGAACCAAACTATATCTTTATTATTATCGTTTCAAAAAGGTACTTTTGGAATTATTTTTGGTTGCATTGCTCTGATGAAGATCTATTTTAAAAATGAATTCCTAACTTTTAAACTGTAATTTAAACACTTTTGTATCTTTCTTCCTTTCAGACATTTGAGTTTGAAGTTGATCTCTTCACTGGCACGGTTTTGGAACAGTTCCCATGTAAAATATTTGCGTAACGTGCACTTCCTTTTCCTGGTGTCCGGGTGCTGCCGGAGGGCCGGGAGGAGGGGGTGGCGGGCGGCGTGACCAGGCGCGGGGTAGCGCGGCTGCCCCGCACAGCCCCGCAGCGCCGTGGGGTTGCACAGTGCCAAATGAGGGCAACTCGACTCAGCTGAGTTGGTAAACCGCCTGCTGGCACAGGATCAGAGATTCTTCAAAACTGAAACGGGGTCAGTGCTTCTTGCTTGGTGCCAGGAACTCCCTGCAGTACCCGTCCCACCCAGGGCACAATAGAACTAAGCGTTTGTTTCTGATTTAAACTTTCTGCTGCTTACGAGCAGTGTTATTTAATGATTTCAGTTGAATTTTCTTCTTGTTCTAATAGCAGCCTTAGATTAGCAGTTATCAGAAAGTAGGCAGAACAAATTAACTTAGCTGATGAATACTGTAGCAGCTAAAGGGTTCCTGCATGTGTAGCCCRTGTCTGTGGCTCCATCACATACCTGTTCTAGAGCGGGCAGCGCAGCTCRCTGCTCCTCTGGGCTTGCTCTGCTCACGGAGCTGCTGGCAGCTGAGGTGGAGCTGTGGAGTTGCTCGGTTCTCGCTAGGCRAGTTGAGGGCGAGTTGCCGTGATCCCTGCTGTGCGGAGCCGTGGGCTCTCCCTGTGACGCGGGGTGTACAGGGCTCGTTCGGGATCCTCAGAGCAGTGCCCTGGTGTGGGATGCTCTGTGCTTGCTCCTGACCTTCCCCTGYGGCTGGGGGGCCTGGAATCAGCCCTTCCCATGCGCTCTTCCACACCTGCTCCTCCCCACTTCCCTCTGTACCCCATTGCAGTACGGTTCATCCACTGTAGTGGATTTCTGTCTCCTTGGAGTAATTGTAAAGATTAAGAACTATTTTCCCTATCYGCTTTAATTCAGAAAAGCACAAGTTTTTCTGATTTGTGAAGCTGAAGTTCATAAAACAGCAGACATGAAAAAAAAATTCAAGCGATCTCTTATCTGAAGAGATTAGAAAAGTGACTAAAGGTCATCTCGCATTAAAATGCTGTCATTCTCTATGAGTAAGATCTATTAACAATAATGAGAGTACATTTGYATTGTTGAATATAATACACTATCAGCCTCAAGCCCCAGGGGAAGAAATATGCTGAAGTGGAGGTAAAGAGAGGCAAGCTGAGAAATAAGTTGGCATGATTCTAATGGATAAATGTTCTCCAGATGCAGGCTGCTCTGAGTTGTATTTTTCTTAAGTCATCAGCATCAAAGGGTGGTAAACCATGCAAAAGAGATGGTAGCTTTGGGAAACAAAAGCCTTTTGTATTGCAAATAGCTGTAGTGCTCAGGCAAGCACTGTTAATGTTTGATTCCTTAGTATACATTAAAAAAAAAAAAAGAGGAGTTTATTGAATACTTGGGAAAGTCATCGGAAAACAAAGAGTCTGCTTGAGCGATAGAATTTTTTGTAGGAAAGTGTGAGTAATCTGCCTTGGATTTCATTCCTGTTAGTAGCGGGAGGGAGGCTGGGCCGAGTGGGATACTGGTTAAAATGAACACAAATGTAGTTTACAGGGTTCAGTACAGCAAGCCTGCCCTATCTGTAGGGAAACAAACCCCTTTAGTACAGCACCTTGCACTTGATGCTTCTGAGTAGGGACATTTACTTCGTAATGCAGAGATCTTGCTACCTCCTCTGTTTTGCATTTGTAAGAATCATCATGAAGTTCTTGGGAAATGGCCAATATATTTCTTTTTGGGTGTTGCTTTTTTACTGATGCTGAACAAAATAGTGTGATCTGATAAAACGGAGAAATAACTATAAGTTCTTCTGTGTCCCAGTGAAATAGTGGTATATATGTTGAGATGCAATCTGAAGAGTGTCTGAAGACACTCCTGAAGAGCAACCAAAATCTAACAGAGTTTAAGGGAACCAACATATAGTAATTTTTGTAATTTCCTTTGTAATAAAATATCATCATTTGACCTCTTGTTCCATGTTGCTAGGCACTATCATAACAATTGCTGTTCTCTTACAGAATCTGGGTAAAGGAAATGAAAAGAGCAGATGTAGTATCTTTGCCCTGCTTTTTTAATGTAATAGAGTTGCTGCATCAGTGGGAGGAACCCACTGAATAAAGGCAGATCTAGAAAAAAG